CTCTTTCTCACTTCTGTCAGCAGGTTCGTTTCCCTTGAATTGGTCCTAAATTTGACACTACCTGTACTAGAAAGTGAAGCAATAGTGTGTTAATAGTCTCATTTTGACTGTATCAGTCTGCTTATGTGTTTCAAAAGCCTAGACCTTTTATTGTTTTAATTTACTCCCAGGAGATTTTTTAAATGATTTTGTGTTTAAAGTGTTTGAATTTTTATTATAAAACAGCTTGACTGAAAAAAAGTATGTGTCTTCTAATAGAAACAACTTCCTGAGGCTGTGTGTGCTGAAAGTTACGCAGCAGAGTGAGAAGCACTTAGAGAAGATTCTGAATGTGGACGAGTTCGTCAAAAGAGTTTTCTCAGTAATTCACAGCAATGATCCAGTTGCTCGGGCTATTACACTTCGGTATGTATTACATAAATGAACCTAACTTACTTCAGATCTCTCGCTAATTATTGGTGTGCTGGAATAACAAAATCTGCAGCTACCATGAATGAAATGTAGCAGGCATCTTATACATCGCTCATAGAGTTAAAAGCAAAGACATCTGTCTTTAAAGGGGGTGACCAATAAGTATCTGTGATCAGAAGAACGAGGTTATTAACCATTTATAATGGTGGGAATTTTGTGGATGGCTCCAGGCAGGACAGAATTTGCAGCATTGAAATTGTGTGTACTAAAGAGAAGAAAAATGAACCTGTTGTATGCATAACCCAGACAATAGCTATATGCAATACATCAAATGTTGCCTATGATATATTTAGACCAGGACCAAAAGGAAAGTGCTTCCTTATGTGTCACAATAATTTTTGTTAACTTGTAACCAAAACATATTTATGTGAACCTTGTTAGGCTTGCACCTATTTTTCATTAATCGTTGTCCTAGAAACTTACTGCTTGTTGGTCTCTGATCAATAACTTCTAAGGAAGTGCCATTGTATTATTGATTGCTTTGGACTTCTGGGAATCAAATGGAAAAAAAAAGAAATTAAGTTATCTTTAATGTCACTGTTCTGCTGCTTTGGTGTCTGTCACTAAAACTGTCCAGCATGGTGGTCTTAACTGCATCTTCCAACTCCTGTGCAAGTGAATTCAAATGTGAAAAGAGTACTCTTCTTTTTCCCTTTATATTCTTTTCCTCTGTCCATCTAGAACTGTTACTGATTTCACTATTGAAAGATGGGAGGCATTAACAGGGGTTTGTCTGATTAGCTCCTATGTCTATTTCTTCTTTTGATATTTTTATGTGAGATTATGCTGTCTTGCTCTGGTGTCTCAGAAATCTGTAAATATGATATATTTACATGTTTTCTTATAGTTCCATTTCAGTATTCTAACATAAGATTGGTGGTATTCACTGGTATTGAGGCCTGTCTTTACAGACTGCTAGAAGCCCCAGGAATCTGCTCAGTTTGAAGAAATACTTGAATTACTAATCATTCACAGGATCCATCAAGTGAAAGGTTAAAATGGCTGTTGGTTCAGTAGTGTCAGATAGAAATCTTCTGTTCATTTGGCTTTGTCTTCCTTAAGTAGCGTCAACAGGAAAGAAAAGCTGAAAGAACAATCTGCTAAACAAAACTTTGTGTCTGGGGAATTTTGTTGCTAGATGACTGTGTGTAAATACTTGCATAGAACTCTTGCTAAAATTTCCACCAGTGCAAATGCTCCATTTGTTCTTTAATTGGATTATGCTAATTATGTCTGAAAGGTATCTTGGAGATATTCTTAGTAAAAGTATAGATTGATTTGGACCTTTTTATGAGTTACACAAAATATATTGCACAATTCCCAATAATAACCTTACCTCACATCAGTGAAAGATCTTAGAAACTAGTGACTTAATTCAGGTCCTTGTTTGCTTGATCCTGGTAACACTCCAGAAACTTTACTTTCTTAGCATGTGGTTAAAATTTATGACTGTTCAGACATTTGTTACATATTTACTTTTCCAGTCTTAATTATGAAGAGGGATAGAAAAGATGGAAACAGCTCTCTAAATGCATGGGTTTTTTATCCCCCTAGAGTACACATTTCTGAATTTATATCCAATGATGTGTACTTCATGTGCGTCTGAAAATAGCGACCAGTACATTTTAGTATTAAATCTGTTGTGTTGAAGAGCTTGAACATAAAAGCATCTTCAAAATACCTCTTCCCAGTGCCATAGTGCACTCTTAATTTTTATAAGAGTTCTTGGTAAATTTCTCACTGTGTCCATTTCAAACTAAAACATACCAAAATGTAATTAGTCGTTAAACCACTGACATAACCCACATGACAAAATTTGTTACCTTTTAATTATATGCCTAGTTTTAGCATTTGTTTGTTTCTGTAATAGACATGAAAGAGCACATATTTATATAAAAATAATCTTTTAACGTGTCCTTTTATAGTTCTGTTTGGTTTCATCTTGCATTTCTTCATAACTATTTTTCTTCCTGATTTTGCTGTGATTTATTTTTGTAGGATGTTGGGCAGCATGGCATCTATTATTCCAGAAAGAAAGAATGCTCATCACAGTATTCGTCAAAGTTTGGATTCCCATGACAATGTGGAAGTTGAAGCTGCTATATTTGCTGCTGCCAACTTTTCTGCACAATCAAAGTAAGATGTAATTTTTTTCGGTTTTTCATATTACAGAGAATGGAAACTCCATTGACACTGGCATTCGCAAGGCTTAATATTTCCTTCTGTAGTGCTAGCCATGTTGTTTATAGCAAAATATTTAAGTATGTGCAGTAACAGTGTTGTAAAGAAATCTGAATACAACTTTAGCAGATTTTTTTTTCTGAAATAGAAAGCTCATAAATATGGGAATTAAAGTGGAATAGGAGCTTTAATCAAGGATTATTTTACAGATGTTATATTAGGGAACAAAATGTAGTGCTGCTTGTCACTTTGGCACATTTTTGAAAGCTTCCATTTTGTCATTAGATCATGCCCATGTGCGTGTGTTCTAAAACAACTTAGGTCTTGGCAAGCACTCTTTTGTGAAAGTTATGTTGTTAAAACACAGTCGATTTTTATTTTTAATTATTTACTCCTTTATTTTTTGTTTCACGTGGTACTTTGTCTTTTCTCTGCAGGGATTTTGCTGGTGGAATATGTAATAAAATCAGTGAGATGATTCAAGGTACATACATCTATTGAATGATGAAAGGGAAAAGCTCTGATTTCTCTGAGAATTCTTTATTATCATTATGTAAATGCTGGATATCATAATGCTATTGCCATTATACTCAAATGCTCTTCAAGGAGTTAGTCAGTAGGACCACCTGGGAAATGTCCCTCAGAGACAGGGGAGCAGAACAGAGCTGGCAGATGTTTAAGGATGCTTTCCACAGAGTGCAAGAGCTGTCAGTCCCCAGGTGTAAGAAATCAGGCAAGGAAGGGAAGAGACTGGCATGGCTGAGTTGAGACCTGCTGGTCAAACTAAAGAGCAAGAAGGAACTGCACAGGCAGTGGCAGCAGGGACAGGTATCCTGGGAAGAGTTTAGGGATGCTCCCTGGTTGTGCAGGGATGGGGTCAGGAGGGCCAAGGCATGGCTGGAGCTGAATTTGTCAAGGGATGCAAAGAATAACAAGAGCAGCTGCTACAGGTGTGTCAGCCAGAAAAGCAAGGTTGAAGAAAGCATACCCTCCACCCAGATGAGCAAGAAAGGCAACTCAGTATCAATAGACAAGGAGAAGGCTGATGTACTCAGCAATTTTTTTGCCTCAGTCTTCACTGGCAACCTCTCTCCTCGCCCCTCCTGAGTTGATGGACCACAAGATGGGGGACCAGAGGGGTAAAGCCCCTCCCACTGTAAGGGAGGACCAGGTTTGTGACCATATGAGGAACCTGAACATACACAAGTCTATGAGACCTGATGAGATGCATCCCAGAGTCCTGAGGGAACTGGCTGGTGTCGTTGCCAAACCACTCTCTGTAAAGGTCATGGCAGTCAGGTGAAGTCCCTGGTGACTGGAAGAAGGGAATACTGTGCTGATTTTTAGAAATGGTAGAAAGGAGGACCCTGGGAGCTACCAACATGTCAGCCTCACCTCTGTGCCTGGGAAGATCATGGAACAGGTCCTCCTAGAAGCTCTGCTAAAGCACATGGAGGACAGAGAGGTGATTCAAGACAGCCAGCATGTCTTCACCAAGGGCAAGTCCTGCGTGACGAACTTAGTGGCTTTCTGTGATGGAGTGACTGCGTCAGCGGGCAAGGGAAAAGCAATAGATGTCACCTATCTGGACTTCTGTAAGGCCTTCCGCATGGTCTACTGCAACATCCTTCTCTCTAGATTAGGGGAGATATGGATTTGATGGGTGAACTGTTCAGTGAATGAGGAACTGGTTGGATGGTCGCAGCCATAGGGTAGTCGTCAATGGCTCGATGTCCAAATAGACGTTGGTGACAAGTGGTGTCCCTCAGGGGTCCGTACTAGGACTGGTGCTGTTTATTATTTTCATCAATGACATAGCAAGATCAAGTGCACCCTCAAGCAAGTTTGCAGATGACACCAAGCCGAGTGGTGCAGTTGACACAACCAAGGGACGGGATGCCATCCTGAGGGACCTGGACAAGATGGAGAGGTGGGCCTGTGTGAACCTCAAGAGGTTCAGCAAGACCAGGTGCAAGGTCCTGCACCTGGATCGGGGCAACCCCCAATATCAATACAGGCTGAGGAAAGGAGGGATTGAAAGTCCTGCTGAGAAGAACTTGTGGGTACTGATGGAAGAAAAACTGAACGTGAGCTGACAATGTGTGCTTGCAGCCCAGAAGGCCAGTCATATCCTGGGCCGCATCCTCAGCAGCGTGGCCAGCAGGTCGAGGGAGGTGATTATGCCCCTCTGCTCCACTCTGGTGAGACCCCTCCTGGAGTCCTGCATCCAGCTCTGGAGCCCTCAGCAGAGGAGAGACATGGACCTGTTGGAGTGGGTCCAGAGGAGGCCACAAAAGTTATCTGAGGGCTGGAACACCTCTCCTATGAGGAAAGGCTGAGAGAGTTGGGGCTGTTCAGCCTGGAGAAGAGAAGGCTGCGGGGAGATCTTATTGCAGCTTTTCAGTATTAAAGGGGACCTAGAGGAAAGATGGGGACAATCTTTTTAGCAAGGCCTGTTGTTACAGCAAAAGGAGTAGTGGTTTTAAACTCAGGGAAGGTAGATTTAGACTGGATGTAAGGAAGAAATGTCTTTACCGTGAGGGTGGTGAAACACTGGCACAGGTTGCCCAGAGAGGTAGTGGAGGCCCCATTCTTAGGAACATTCAAGGCCAGGTTGGACTGGGCTCTGAGCAACCTGATCTAGTGAAAGATGTTCCTGCTCACTGCAGGGGGGTTGGGCTAGATGACCTTTAAAGGTCCCTTCCAACCCACAGCATTCTGTGATTCTATGATTTAAATGATTCAATTTTTATAATAGAATTAGCTAACCAACAATCTAATGTCTGGCTCTTGTGTCCTCTTAAAAATCTAAGTTCTCAAACCACTTGTTTGGTAGAGAATAAAAGCTCGTCTACAGTATGATGAATAAACTTACGTAGACTATTTCAGATTGCTTCAGGTGAGTTAATACATACGTTACTTGCAATGAGGTAAGCAGCAACCTTCTCTTAGAACTGTGAAAATGCTTGATACCACTATGGGTATGCTGCTAGCTAGTAGATGGGTTGTTTGTAGCTAATGCAGGTGTCCACACAATTTGCATTCAGCAGTGGTAGCAATGCAGACATATGGTGTGCCTCAGCACTGCCAAATGCCAGTACAAAGGACTAATGCTCTGCCTATGTCTCTTGTACTTGTTGCAGGTTTAGCCACACCTGTGGACTTGAAATTGAAGTTGATCCCTATTCTACAGCACATGCATCATGATGCTAGCCTGGCCTCTAGCTCCCGGCAGCTGCTTCAGCAGCTGGTAACATCGTATCCCTCTACCAAAATGGTCATTGTTACACTGCACACCTTTACTCTGCTTGCTGCTTCTTCTTTGGTTGACATTCCTAAGCAGGTAATTCTTCCTGATTCGTTCCTTCAACTTAAAGTACAAAGTACATTTAAAAAAACTCAGATCCTAGGTGACACCGAAAATAAATCGTGATGGATATGCTGTGATGGTTGCTCCTACGTGCTATAGAGAAAGAACACCCTGGAAACTGCTGCTGCTTTCATATTTCTTGCCCTCCCTGGTCCCATTTCCATACAACCCCATCAAGCACAGGAACTCTTCTTTACAGATCATAATCTGTCTTTCTTTGTCAGCTGGGATTGAAATCAGCTAGGATCAGTCAACATTTAGGAAAGCAAATACCCTGACTTTTTCTGAAAACTTTTCATCTTACCTGTGGAACACAGGCGTCACTTCTCACTGCTGTATATTCTCTTGCATCGTGGGTGTGCCTTTTGCCTGCCTTGCATGCAAGCAAATGGATATTTCAATAGCATAGAGTGCATTTAAAAATCTGTTTCTTGAAGAGCAGAGGAATTTGAATCTGTTGCTGTGATTTAGGGCTATAAACAAAGCTGCAGGAAAGCAGTGATGGAAAAATACAATGTTTTTATGTTCTGATAACATACTTCGTGGATGTGATTTATATAGCAGATCTGAACACAGTGATATTTGAGATTCATCTAACTAATCCTTGTAAAGTAGTCATGAAAATCTATTTGGTTTCTTTCAATCCTGTAGAGCTAGGGAAGGCTGGTGTCTGTTACTGTTAGAGTAATAGCATTGATCTGTCTGAAATTTCTTTTTAGTAAGGTTGATTTCTGTATTTCAGAGGATGCTTTTGATACTACTGAATCTTAATCTCAGCCAACTGAGCAACATTAGAACACTTGATGTGCTTTTTTTTTTTATGGCAGTTAGCATGGTGCTTTAGGCTGTATTTCTGCAGTGCAACAGCCAGTGCTGCTGACAAGTGCTGTAGCCAGGGTGGGGATGGAGAGCAAAACCACGGCCAGTGTGTTCTTGCTTTCTCACACATGCTGGCTATTCCGTATCTGTAAGCTTGCAGGAGGTGAAGACAGCCAAGGACACGCAGTTAAGTGTCACTTCATTTGATATAAGCGCTGCAGAAGGGCTGGCTAGGGGTTGTTTTTGTTTGGTTGGTTTAGGGGTTGTTTTTCGCAACTACTGAGACACACAAAGTATGCCTCTGTTGCTATCTGTTAACTGCAGATCATGCGGAGACCTGAATTAGCATCAAATGCCCAGAATACTTGTTAGTAGCAGAATCACAACAGTATAAGGTGTTTACTGAGCTTCTCAGGGATGGTTTATGGTATTTCTGTGAGTGTCAGAACAGGTGTCAAGGCTTCTCGGGTATGCAGGATGATGCAGAGGAGGGTGCATGAACAAGGAGAACAGGGTGGTAGAAATAGGCTGTCGGACAGTTTTAGCTTGCTGTGGCATGACAGCCTAAATAGGGGCTTTTCCATGTGGCAAGCAATCAAGTGGATAAGGCAAGTTCATTTTGGCTGAGTATGCGCAAAATTTCATCACAAATACTTTTGAAAAGATTTCCTTCTAGTAGCATCTCTCTTGAACAATGAATTTACTTCGTTGCAGATCCAGCTGTTGTTGCAGTACTTGAAGATTGACCCCAGGAAGGCTGTGAAGAGGCTTGCAATCCAAGATTTAAAGTTGTTGGCCAGCAAGACACCACATACATGGAGCAGAGAAAACATTCAGGTTTACACATTTTGAAGCTACATTTTATGATGAAACTTTGCAGTTAGTTGTAGAATTCTTTCCAGAAGAACAATTCGGGAGGTAAAGGAAGGAAGAACATAATTTCCATATCCTGAAGTTAGGTTACTCTGCCAAGCAGGGTAGCTAAATGATAATGAATGATTCATAGAATATCTTGAGTTGCACAAGTTGACCCACAAGGATCAAAGTTGATGTATTGTAACTGAAGAAAGGCAAGTGTCATGTAGTAGGCCTTTTTACAGTAAGGAAATAACTTTTCGATCTGACAAACTCATCTAAGATAAACATGAGCTGAATCTTAATCTTATGATACTGAATACATATTGATGCTAAGACAGAGTCTCTCTGGGATTTGTCAAAGCACGTCATCTAGCAAGGTGTACTTGAAAGGACAAATGTAATTTTTGCTTCATTTCTTAGGATTAATAACTCATTTTCAGTAGTACCCTTGACTCCTGTTGTATGAACGAGACTCGAAGTTGTTTACAGTTCTTCTGTGTTATTTGGAGACACGGCTGTTTTATTGTAAATTGTATTGCTGCTTTCTCTCAATTGCAGCTGCATATGAGCTTTTTTTTCCACTTGTTTTTTCCCCTTTTCTGGTAAAAATTACTATAGAAAATAACTTCAGATTAGATTAATGGGAAAGTAAATATGTCGAGAACTTATTGGGGAAGGCTTATAGCTCTACTTTTCTGGGTCTTTTTGCATTGTTTTTACTACTCTTGGAAGCTACTTTTGCTACATGCTGCTGAAGCATAGTGCAACTGGGAGGAAAAACCGTGCAGATTTTTTATAATAATCATGTGAGAAATAAAACATGATTTGTCTCCAGTTCTTTGATAAGATGCTCTGGAGTGTGCAGAGGTTTTTGTTTTAGTGAACTGTTTTATTCTTCATAATGGATGAATACTAGAAATTTATTTCCTTTTAGGAATTTTAAGGAATTGCTTTAACAGTTTATGGATTATTTGTAGTCAAAATGCTACTTTATACCGTATGGCTGATTGGTAGTTATCTCAATACAAATGAGAGACATTGATAACGTAGCTTTCATCATCATGTAGTGTCTTAAAGCAGGTGTCCTGATGGTTGAAATGCATAGGTAAAAGTTCCATTGATGTCGGTACTAAACCAGTGACTGGGTTAGAATAAAGTTAATTTGATGAAGTTTATTAATGTTTGCTGAATGGCATACAGAAGTAATGAGAGTTTTTCTGACTTGTGAAATAGAAAGTCAACATTGTGAGTTGGGCAACTCTTTTCCATAAACGACTTTGTAATGTTTATACAACAGGGACTGGAACTGACCCTCCTGTTCTCATGGCAAAACCTGCTTCTTGTATGTTTTTACCAACAAGAGTTTCAGCAGTGTGAACTTCTTCAGCATTTTGTGTCTGTTTGTGTAGGTCAGGTGAGAGGCTTGGTCTCTGAATTGTGGAGACTTCACTGATTTGTAGACATCAGCTCCAGAAGCTGTAGATACTTAGAGCAATCCTTCCGCTGACTGCGAAGGTAACAAGCAGTCTGCAGTCCATCTTGGTAATTCTTCTGTGCCCTTGGCATTCTTCATCGTTACCATTTCGAATACATTCTTTGCATGGTGATCTAATCGCACTGGAGTAAAACATCAGTGTCTTGGGAAATATTTGGGTTGGAAATGTGTCTGGATCATTCTATTGTCTGTCTGTTGATGCCTTACTGTTCATTGGGTTAGAAAAAGACTATGCTGGTACAAATTGCAAACTGATTTAGAATTTAACCCTTACACCATACAAGAACATACATATAACTGATAAGAACAGCATTATGGGGTTTTTTTGTTCTGTGGAACTAATTCTGTGTTGTTGTTTTTCTTTATTCAGTTACTGGATGTTATCATTCAGCTTTGGCAATCTGAGGTGGAATATACTTATATTTTCCATTTGTGTCTCATATTGCTTTCTCTCATGTTGACTAAAAAAGCCTCTAAAACCAATGAATGACCAAATTGTGGACAGTGTTGGCATAATGAATCTGAGAACAATGTGAATTTTAAGAGTTATTCCAATCTAGGTGTCATAAGGTATGAGGAGATCTGGCAAAAGGCACAAAAGTATGACAGCAGCTCTACTATAAATGAGTTATAAAAATGAAATATGCTTTAAGCTGTTTATCAAGAAAATTTAAATGTGTTCTGTTGGACACCAGGACTGTTAAAGGAAATGACACTTGAAACTTAGCTCTGCAGAGATGTATACTTACATAAAACCCTGCAGATTGTTATAAAGCAAAATATTCAGTATGGCTCTAAGACTGGAGAACTGTTTTAAAATCTTCTGTAATATTTGATGAATGAAACATGATAACATTTTTGTCACTGATTTTTAGTTAATAAGTGACTTACAATTGGTGTTTCCCTAGCATGAGACCCACTGTCACTTTTCTGCAAGTCACATCCTCAGTCTACTAAAACAGATGCATCAGGACATGACTTTTAACTTTTTATTTCAGTACAATATGTTCTGTGGAAAAAATCTTGACTCTCAAAACTTTTCACAGACAAGTGCAACTAAACATTGAATACAGTTAGCTCATGGGACTTCCTTCCCTCTGTATCTTTTCTTCTGCTGATCTTTAGGCACTCTGTGAATCTGCTCTTCACACTCCTTATGACAGCTTGAAACTGGGCATGCTATCTGTTCTTTCTACGTTATCAGGGACCATTGCCATTAAACAGTACTTCAGCAGTGCTCCAGGTAAGAGAACTAGATTAGGTGATTATCTTTGGCATTTCTAATGGATTGGCTATCTACTCATAATCAGTTTCATCTAAACACTTTATAGCATATTCTTAAATTATTTTTGAATTTCAGAACACTAGCTGAGAGTCAGACTGTTCGTCATATGTAAACTTCAAGTGAGATACTGTATAGCCATGAGTAACCATAGTCTAATATTTTGTTCTGTGGGTAATATGCTGTATGAAAGGGGTATTTTACCTTTGGGTCTTCAAGTTTTCTCCATAAAATGAAGAAATGTAATGCCTCTCAAAAGGCTGACCTGAATTCTGCTTAAGGTGCTTTGAAACCATGGATTTGCGTAGTTTTTGAGTAGCATGGAGACTTAATGGTGTGAGAGTGGGCTGGCGTGTTGCTGTGGCACAGTGAAGCTATGCCACCCTTCTAGGAATGACCTGCTTCAGTGCCAGGTGAACCTTTCTGGCTTGTGACTATATTCTGGAGAAACAGAGTAGACATTTTAAAGTGATTCAAGGTATCTTGTTCTTAAAATGGTGCTCATACTGTTTTCTTTCTGCTTCTTGAAAGCCAGACTGCCCTAATGAGTAGTATGATCCCAACTACACGGACTGCAGAAATGGAGAAAAAGAATACATCCTCTTCAGTCGTTCTGGCATGTCTTAATAATTGATGTGCTAACTAGCTTTTATTAATCAGATATAATATTTCTTAAGGCAGTATTTCTCGGAGTCCCTGAAACATCATCCTTTTGACCCAAATACTCTTTCTCATGTATGTCTAACTTGTGTAGTGTTCAGGAATGGGGAGAGAGAGAAAGATGTGTTTTCATTCTATCCTTGAAACAGGTAAAAAAAAATTAATCCTAAGTCAATATAGTTTTTTGCAGAAATGTACTTGAAAAGATCTGTGGTATTATAATTATGGACTGTGCTGTTTTATATACTGTTTGCCTTCTCTTTATTTAGGAACAGCAGCTACAACTGTGAGATCATTTGATTTAGTAAAACTGGCACAGGAGTGCTGTTACCATAATAACCGTGGCATTGCAGCTCATGGTGTGAGAATTCTGACTAATATATCAGCCTCTTGTCAGGAAAAAGGTAAGTGAAAGCAAGGACAATGAAATGTGTGTTTACATTCAGGCGTATGCACTTACCACGTATTGCTGGTCTTGTCTGTGGACCTGTCTGTAGATGTCTGATCCTTCATGCCATTTAGGGAGAATGGGAACTATAATCTAGTAGAAAATATCCTGTATGATTTTTATGAATGATTGGGAAGATTTCATCTTTGTTTAATTTAGAAAAAATTACTGGGCACAGCAGAACTTGTGATAAATAAATGCTTGTCTTACCTTTGCTGTAAGATTTATGAATTGTTTGTCAGCCTTTGAAAATTCTTTGCACAAAGTCCATTGCAGAAGAGTAACGGGGCATTTAGAAGTCTTAGTACAGAGATTTATGCATGCTCTACAAATGTGACAGTTGGTGTGACTGCTGAATAGTTATCCGAGATGTGGAATGGCAGAATTGTTTCTAATCAAAATAAGGTAAGGCAGAATGTTAGGAAGGTACTTATCTGTCATGACTGTAACACCAGTGCAGACATTACACTGATTATGGTCAGAAAACATAACAGGGAACGAACTTACTCTTTTTCTTTTCTTAGATCTTCTGCCTTTGGAGCAAGATGCAGTTTTTGGCTTAGAAGCTCTTCTTGTTCTTTGTAGTCTGGATGACAGTCCAGGAGCTCAGGCAACCTTGAAGGTAACGTTACTGTTGTATTCCCCTGGCGCAGCTGAAAGTTATAGTAATAGCTTGTATACCAGAAAGGCTAGTGTGCACCAGATACTTTCTGGTGGAAGCATAACATACTGGAAGGAAATGAAGATTTTTCTGTGTCTTGCCGGTAATCAAGAGTTCAGAGTGGTGTGAGAAAGAAGATTATAATTTCTTGAATGTGTGATATGTTTTTGTACTGTGAGCTCAGGGCTCTTGAAAAATCTCATCTTTTGTAGAGTACATGGTTCTGAAAATACTGAATATTCTGTATTTCTGCAATCATACTTCCACATACGTGTGTCTGGCTCTTTCAGTTTTAAGTAGACATTGCGTTTATTGTACCTGTTGATTGTGTGAATTGCAGATCACGTTAACTTGTATGGTGAAGCTGGTCAAATGCCGCCCTCACCTGAGCCAGTCAGTAGTTGAATCCCTGCTGACCCAGTTGCACAGTGCCCAGGACGCTGCTCGGATTCTCATGTGCCACTGTTTAGCAGCTATAGCGATGCAGCTGCCTGTCTTAGCAGATGGGATGCTGGGAGACCTAATGGACCTCTATAAATTAATTGGACGATCTGCCACAGATAAGAAACAGGAACTCTTGGTAAGACCTTCTTCTGGTGAAATAGCCCTTGATGGATAAAGTCTATATAAACTACTGTGGATGGTTTTTATTTAAAAAGGCAGCTAAGACATTTGTTATGTCCAAGTCCAGGTGCCAGTCTATAGCCACTGTTTTCAGTTTTGCCTGAACTTTTCACTACGTATGTCAGTGTTCAGCGTTGAAATATCTCGTAGATGGAGCTGAACTAAGCAGTGTATTCCATTAGATTTTCCAGCAGATGGCACTGCGTAGACAAACCGAGCTATTGAAGTTATTGGGGTATATGTAAAATAATGGTTACAGAAAAACAAAACGGCGGTTAGCCAAATTTATGTATGGTACTGTGACGCATATGACTGTTAATGTACTGCAAGAGATAAAAATGCTTTTATCCTATCTATTTGGAAATAAATTTGAATTTAAGAAAGAAATTACAAGCTTCCTATTAATTTGTTTGGAGTATTCGAAATATCTCAGTTAAAAGTCACAGTAAAGATACTTTAAAAGAAAGTGACTTTCATCTAGTAGAAATATTTGGGTTGCCATAACTCCTTGAAAAATATATGACTGAGAAGTTCACTAGTTGAAAGATATATGTAATCTTCTATGTAGTTTTGAGTCCAAAATCAAGGAGTTTCTGGTAGTTTAGGGAACAGAACTGGCTTTTTTTCTTGATTGTTTTAGTTCCTGGAATATAATCTTCTTTGCCCCTCGACTCTTCATTAGGTTTCTCTCGCCACAGTGATATTTGTTTCCAGTCAGAAAGCTTTATCTTCAGAGATCAAAACTGTTATCAAACAGCAGCTTGAGAATTCCTCCAATGGATGGACAGCCTACAGGATAGCCAGGCAGGCTTCCAGAATGGTAAGTGAAAATACCTGGAGAAAAATGATTTGGTGTGGTTGGAAGGATGCTAGTGACTTCTTTGAACTGAAGAAAGTAAGTAAGCAAAATGGTAGGACACGGAAGGAGGAAATGAATAGAGGGGAAAAAAAAAAAATAATTCCCTCTTAATTCCGTGGAATGCTGATTCAGATATATGCCATTTAGGGCAGTCATCCCATCAGGGTGGTTTTTCAGTTGTCTTTTTTGAAGTATCTGAGAAGGAAGAAAGCAGTAAACTGATACTTTCTTGAGCACATACCTAATCTGTATTGTCTAGCTGTTCTTTAGAAGATGGTATAGGCCATCCTGATGTGTGCTTTCTTCTACAAAGAAAGGAAGAAAAAGATACTGTTTCCTGTTTACCTTCAGTAAAGGTTAGAATTAGGTAGAAGCCCTAGTACGAGATGCTGAGGTGAAAGTAAATTTCAATATTTGTTTCCCATCTTGTTGAATTATATTGTGTAGATAAGTACTATACTTGACACAGGCTGATATTTCTGTAAAATAAGCATTTGTGCTTTTATTTATTGTTAGGATTGTCGTGATCAAATTATTGGAAGAAGTTTCACTATTTCTATTTTTAAAGTAAGCGTAGCTCTGGAGATGTTACTGTTCTCTTATTTGTATCTGTTTCGTAGAAACCCACATCCTTCTTTCATGTCCCCTCTTAGAAACATTCTTGTCATTACAGGGCAACCATGATATGGCCAGAGAACTGTATCAAAGCCTGCTGACTCAAGTGGCTTCAGAACACTTCTACTTCTGGCTGAACAGCTTGAAGGAGTTCTCCCATGCAGAACAGTGTCTGACAGGTTTGCAGGAGGACAACTACAGCTCAGCACTTTCTTGCATCGCTGAAGCTTTAAAATCCTATCACAAAGGAATAGCATCACTGACGGTTAGCACAGATCTTCTGCTTTAATGATAATGTTTCTGTGTACTGCAGCAGATCTGTTTGGTTTCTGTTCTTAAGCCTCTGAAAATTTTTTAGAGATGTCTGACATCTGCCAGACTCTTTTTGAGAGGACTGCAGGGAATAGCCAGTTGTAACACACTGTGTCTTCAGAGAGAAGATCCTGTAGCTCAGCTAAGTGTGATTAGCTAGATTTCTCTTTTTTCTTTTCTTTTCCCCCTCCTTGCTTCCTGCCTTTATCAAATCATATGATATGTAACAGATCTTTGTTAAAATTACAGTACTTAAAAATTTTCCACTCCTTGTCTTGGCTGAATAAAGGCTGTTGTGATAGTCAAGCCTGGGGATTTGTCTGAATTGGCTGCTATCTTCTCGAGATAAGCAGAAGGATTTAATTGTCTTCCTCCTGCTGAGTTCATGTGTTTTATTTGACAATGTGATCCTATGGAATCCTAACAAGGCAACACCAATTTAGTAAGAAGAGAGAGGACAATTCAGTCTCATCAAATCTGCAGAATTCAGGTGGTACCTGCTATTATGCAAATACTTTCTGCTTCTCTGAAGTGGTGAAAATGGAAAGAAGCTGCGTATGTGATGTCTGTGAATTTAAACGGAAAGAGCATTAATGAGTATGGACCTTCAGTTCTCACTGCGAAGCTGCTTCTTAACAAAAGATGATCCAGCTTTACACAACATTTTTCTTCATGGAAACAGAAATGTGAAAGAATCTTTACATACAGTTGTCTGTATGTCTCTTGGATGAAGCTGCCTTTTTTTTTAGTAACTGGAACTGTCAGTGTCATGACAACTCAGGTATTAGTGTTTATTAAAGTTCACATATTACAGTTTATTAAAACTGTTCCTGAATAAGCAGGAAGGATGTAAATTTTACACCTTTGTCCTCTGAGAGAAAGCTCCATTGTTCCTGAAGTATTTGTCTTTAACTTGTTGGCTGAGTGAATAATGAATTAAAAACCTTATTTCAAGATTTCTCCAATGTCTAGAAGACATTGAGGGGGGACCTCATCTAATTGCATGTTAATATTTAATACAGGCAGGACAATAATCTGCTTAAATAGGTCATTCTGTGGTTCAGTAATTTAATTAGCCTTTCCCTAGAGTTTGAGCTTTTTCTGTTGAAGGATTCTTGTCCTCATCTTCTCTGCTGACTTCACTTTCTGCGTGTTGCACATAGGCATTGCACCCAGAAAAGCACGCACTTGTGTGTTGTTGTGGTCCGGAGAGGTACGGGTTTTGGAGGGCTAGAGAAGAGGAAATCAGGTTTTATTGCTGGCTGTTGCTGTCTTGTTGCATCACTGCACAGATTCCTAACCATGCTTGAGTGTATCGGCTGTAAAAGGAGCTGCTCACTGCTTGCATCTACAGAACTCAGAGTCTCAAAGGGGAGCAAAGTGCCATAAACTGCATGTGATAGTCTTCCTGATGAAGGCTTTTGCTGTCTATTCCCTCCACTTTAAGCTTTACTGTTGCTGCTGTTTCAGTGTAGAGCGTGACTCGGCACTGTTGGTGCCGCAGACCATTAGTGCGCGTGGCTTACGGTAAATCTGTTGCAGATGTTCAGTCAGCCCAGTTTAGCAACGATGAAATATTCAGACAGTGTCTGATTTTGTCAGAAAATTTCTCAATTCCTTCTTGATATACATGCAACTGTCTGTCTTTCTTGCATTGCTGTATGCAAAATGTTCCTTTGTGTGAGTTAGTCCACTTTGAGGAAGAAAGTCCTGTTACTTCATGGGTTGGGGAGGGCAGAGACTTGTCGTGGAGCCACAGTCCCCGCCTCTCTTGCTACATACTTGATTGTGCAGTTAGCAAAGGTTTTGAGTAGGACCTGCTCTTGCACAGAACATGCGTGTCATTGGAAGCATTGTGCTTATTTTTCACTGCTGGTAAGCTGGAGAAGATACAGCACTTGAACAAAGCACTAATATAACCATTGATTAAGTAGCACTAACTCCAAATATGTTGATAACGCGTGGTGGTGTTTGAAGAACTTGACTGAGCCAAAGAACTTTTTCTGTCGTTTTCAGAAGAGCTGTAACTCATTTATTGCCCATGGCTATATGGGTAGTAGATAAGGTAAATTGCAATATTAATGACACAAGCTTGTATTTCCATTTACAAGAATTAAGTCCAACTTGTGCTACTAAAAATGTCTGGATTTTCTGATATAAGCAGTGGTACTTTACTCTCTATAAAAGCATGTAGTCTCTGTAGAGCAATTACAGTGCTGTGAGATTTCTTCCACAGAGGGTTTTCTGAAACCACCCTTGCAGAATAAACTGAACAATTTCCATTCAAGAGGGATTTTCTTATGCCCTTGGAGATGGGAGAACGAAGTGGTAGATAAGAGGGGCTGAATGGCCCAAGTGATAAAATAGTCTTATTTCTTTAATGAAATCTAGTTCAGTATTTTAAAGTGGTTGCAGTTGGCTGATATTTCCTCATTTTTGTCAATAGTGAGCCAGTTCTCAGATGACGTGATGTTTTCTGAGAAACTAGTTTGCTGCTTTCCTGCCAGCAAAGAAATAGTTCTTAGTGAAGTTTTGGGGTGCGTTATAACTTCTTGCTTACAGAAGTGACCTTTTCTGTTGAGGAATAAGAAGTACTGGGGAAGACATGCATGAGTTTAACATACATCCGTTCTCTGAGTAAGAGAAGGTCCCAGTGATTTGTTTTGCTGATGCCTTTTTTCCTTCTAAAGAAAAAAAGTGTACTTTTCTCAAGATCCAACAGTTTAAGAAAAAGAAGTAGTGGATTTTGGGGTTACCTAGTATCAAATCTTGAGTGCTGCAATTTAAGCCCTCCTGGGTGTTCTAAACCGTCGCAGGTGCTTCTACAAGTCAGATAAGCTCTTGGGGAGCTAAGTTTCACAGAACTGTATTTTCTAAATAATAGCAGCATGTCTGCCCTCCTGGAGTTGTCATTTACTGTTCGTAGTTGTCACTGAACTGTCTCTGCCTTCATCAAATGCAAGGTTCAGTACCTTTGTAATGTTCCTGTCCATTTCGCGGTTGTGAAAAAGACCAAAGGTTATCACCCCTTCCTCTTGCTGCAGGTAACTTTAGCTACTTCTTTCTCTTTTGGCTGATGCAGAGAATCATTTTTTCAGTCCTTCATGTTTGTTTGCTTTCCAATTCATTGTGTGCTGTCTTATGGTAAGGACTGTCTGGACTAATGTCATTTGAAGCCTAATGGCTTGGCTGTGGAAAAAGAGCCAATAGATGCCCTGATAGCATTGTAACAGCTTAAGTCACGTTTGTTACAAGGGTGATACACTTGCAATACAGCTTAGTAATTACCTAACTTCTGTGTTGTTTATATTCAGTATGACTTAAATTGAGCAAATTTGTTAAATGTAGTTTTTTTAAAAAAAAAAGCAGCTTTTAGAACTGAGCTGAAGGGTTCAATTGTCTGAGACGGTTCAGTGACATTACAAAGTTATTTTATCGTGTTTGCCTTTGACCTAGATTGCCAGCATTCCTATTACTGTGTTTCAGGCTGCTAGTACGCCACTTAATCCTCTGAGTTTTCAATGCGGATTTGTGAAACTGAGGATTGACCTGCTGCAAGCTTTTTCTCAACTTATTTGTACCTGCAACAGCTTAAAAACAAGTCCACCACCAGCTATTGCCACAACGATTGCTATGACGTCAGGAAATGATCTCCAAAGGTGTGGACGCATCTCTAATCAGGCATGTGTTGTTGTTCCACTCTTGCGCAGTTACGTTTATGACTCTGGTATGAATTTTACATCCCAGCAAACATATCTGATGAAAGAAATGAAAAGTGGTAGTGATGAGTTTTGCTAAATAGTGGGCCTTGAGTTTTGCCTGTGGCTATAAAAATGTCTGCCTGTAGCAGGCCATATTTTGAAGTTAGGCATGTACGTGTGTTTTCTCATACATTCGTGTGCATGCACAGCTTCCAAGGATATGCATGTAGTAAGCCAGTCAGTATGCTCTAAACTTGCAGCAAGACCTTTCACACCTTGTCTTGAAACATCTCGGATACTATGATTACACTAAGCAAGAACATATACTTTGGGATTGTACTGCAACTCCTTTTGGTGAGTGTTGGCAACTGACTTGATACTGTACAGAACAACAAGACAGTCTGCTTCTAGAATGCGTGTATTCTGCAAGGAGGAGTCAGTGGATAGTCTTTCAAAGACAGAGCAGTTTGATTTACCAGTAGAGAATGGGGGACATGGTTGGTGGGGGCGTTTTGTTTTGCTTTATTTTTAACCCTGATGTGTTACAGGAAAAACATCTGTTTAACATGTAGATAATAGTCTGGATAATAGTCTGTAAATTTGGTGATTTTTTTTTTTTTTAATCTGTATGAAGAAGCAAGAACTTTATATATTTTGCCAGGGTATGTTTTCTTATTCCTTCACTGCAGTATGTTATAGTGTAGTGGTTTTCTGAATGTGTGGGGTTTGGTTTGTTTTGCTTTTATTTTTTCACTAGTAATGTTGTCTCTGTAGATGAAACACTCAATGGAGGAATTCCGGAATCTGGCTACACGGTATGGAGATCTGTATCAGTCATCTTTTGATGCAGACTCGGCAACTCTAAGGAATGTAGAACTGTATCCTTTTAAAGTCATAGAATTTGTCCACTTCCCTGCTCACGTGGACAGCGTGAAGCTTAACAATCCTCTTTTCTGTGAAGACTGACACAAAGTCATTTTGAAGCAGTTAGTAACATAAAAATCGCGTACCAATTGCTTAAATGTATTTGGAAGTAAACATTTCCATACTATGGTTTGGAACGTTTTCATGAACAAGTTATGACACAAAAATTGCAACAGTATAGAACTTGGGATTTTCATAGTTCTTGCTCTGTGTTTACGAAAGGAGTAATGACTGCAGGATTTCTTTATAAAAGCTAGAGAAATAAGGATAAGTGCCAGTAAATGTACCACATTTCTTGTTTTAAGTGCCAACTTTGTAAGTCTTAACTCATTAGTATTAATACCAGACAGCAGCAGAGCTGCCTGTTGATTTCACATGCGATAGAAGCTCTGATTTTGGATCCAGAATCTGCAAGGTAGGCTTGATAGTTAACTTTCTACTCCTTTGCTATTTATTTGTAAATCCTTGGGGCTTTAAGCCTAGGAATTCAAAGAATGTTCAGAAAGTTTCTCAGTAGACCCTTCTAATTGCACTCTGGACAGGCTTGAGGACCTGTTGCTGCTGTGCTATACCTGGCAGGCTAGGGACTGTTTTTTGAGTTCTGCATTTTATACTGATTTTGCTCTGGAGTGCTGTATTGGAGTTCAATATAGACTTGCATTAAAATAAAAAACAACCTTTAATCTCTTCTTTAGCCACCTATTTTAACTGGTGTCATTCTGTGTTAGCTCCCATACTTACTGTTTGCACCTGTAAGCATACATTAGTTTCCTTCAGAGTCCTGAAAATATATGCATTAAGTGAGTTTAAACTGCTAACGTAAATCCATCATCTCTGGCCCTTTGTTAACAGTGAACTTATACCCAATAGAAAAATCATGTTGAAGTATGTATGAATTTGAATTACTTTTTAAAACTCCCTGGCTGAGATTAAGCGGAACACAATGTGGATAAACATCTTTTTAAATGTGTGATTTTATAACTGAAAATAAAAGTGAACATCCTAAGTGACCGTCCTATTCATCATACATTAAGCATTGCTTAGAAGATGTATTAATCATACTTGTAAAAAGTCTGAAGCTGTGGACTTCAAATTGTTAGATGTCTATGAGATGGAATTGTATTCAAAGCATGAGATCATAAACTTCCAGATTTAGTCTTAACTCTAACTGGCATTCTCACTTTTCCTTGAGTTGTGAGACTTTAAAAAAAAAAAAACATAGGCACTGCAGGCTTATATGAAAGCCAGGGGAATTAACCATGCTGAGTCTGTTAGACCTGTAACTGCTTCAAGTGAGAGAGGGTGGAGACAGAAAATGGTGGGTAAGCTGTGGTTAAGAAGGGGTTTCAAAGTAAAGGGCAAAAGTGGAAAAATAATAAACGATCAGAGTAAAAAGCTCGAAAGATACAGTTACTGCTTAATGGATTTCAAGTTGTAACAGAGGATAGTCTTGTTGGGCCTGTCTGGGGGTGAGCCTCCCAGATGCTGCTGAGGAAAGTATGTCAGACATGATGAAAAGTTTGTTTTTTGAAGTTTCCAGGAATATAGCTCAAATGGAACAGCACTTGTTGAAAGTGAATATGAAAGAAGAATGATGTCTGTATTTAATCATGTACTGGAAGAAGTGGAATCTCTCAACAGGAAGTATGCTCCTGTGTCTTACTTGGCAAGTAACAGTTTTAAATGTATATTCTGTAGACAAAGGTTCCAAAAACTCGGCAACTCCATATATCTGTTGTGGTCAAGAACCTGAATTAACATAACCTCTTACTGGCACGAATGGTCTCTACAAAGACTCAGTACTTCCAAAATACTTCAAAAAAGGCTTTGCTAAGACATCTATAATGTTACTGGTCTGATTTAAAAATAATGTTTTAAAACTTCTGATGCTAAGCATGTAGTAGATGCTGATAAGACATCTGAAAGTAGTATCGACTCTTTGTCAGATCTCTCACCACACTCACATTCAAATGCTGAAGCGCTTCTCTTTGTTCATGCTGTTGACATGAAGGAATTCTTCCCCTGCCGCATACAGTGCTGGAGGGTCCAGCACTAGCCTAATGTCAGTCGCTGAGCTGTTGGCAGTTAATACTGCTTTTGTGAGTATAGTGTTTCTTTTATCGATGCAGGTCATCAGAGAACACAATGTAAAGTGTGCTGAATGCAAACAGTGAGCTGATAACATACTCCTTCACAGGGCTAGTATGGTTTTGTCTTTTACTGTTAGTAAACATCATAAATGTTGACATGGCTGGCATCTATTTGCCTTGTTTCTAAACTCAGCAGTCCATACCGATTCCAAGTAGAATAAAACAATGAGTTGTGTAAAACGTAGCAAAGGTAAGCCCTGTGACTGTAGTTGTCACTGGCTCCGTACCAGGGCAGCTCGGTGACTTCAGTAGCACTGGCTTGGCTCATCCCAGCCAGAAGGATGGTGTAATGCAGTGGGGAAAGGAAGAGTAGACAAGAGGCTTAAAACTTAATTATTGCACCACATGAAGTTGTGGTAGATGCCAGTCTTGTTTGCTTGGAGGGGAACTGTTGTGTATTTGAGAGCTTGTGCATGAGTTTCAACCAGATCCTGCTCTACTGACTCTTATTTTTTTCACAATTGTTTTCTCTCTGTTTCTTACAGCACACAGCTTGTTTGTGCAATGCTGTCATTGCGTTGTTGAAGGTACCCCTTTCATTTCAAAGGTACTTTTTTCAAAAGCTGCAGTCTACAAGTATTAAGGTAAGTACTTCTCAAATCTGGCCTAAATTTCTCTTTATAGAGTCTTTACTTCATGAGAAAAGCCTTACTGAAGGCACAAGGCTTCAACATTTTTGGTAAAGATACTTAATTGCAAGTAGCACCTGGGCTTGTCTGTTAGGAATAACTTGAAGAATATGTACAGATGATCCTTAAGAACCCCTAGGCTGTGACTTTTTGATTGCAAAGCCTTAAAGATAAAATCTAGCTGGAATTTTTATTGATTCTGAGTCTGCAAAGCTAAATAACGTTCTAGTGCTGGGAAGGCAACTTTTATAATTTTGTAATGTTTTTCCTTTTAAAAAGCAACATTTACTTTCTTGGAAGAGAATTGTAGTATTTATCAGCTGACTGAGTAAGAATGGCTGTATGTGAGCTTCAGTGGTCATACTTTTTTTTACTCAAGTACTCCTTTTTTCTGCAAAAAGTGAAAGCCTTAAGATTTTTAATATTTACTCTTTTTGTGTTGTATTAATTTTTTCAGCTTAGTATACTTACCTGTGGCTGTTTTGTAGATTTTTTCCGCTTCTTTTGAAGAAAGAAGTGCAGTTAATGAAACCGATACAAAGACTACATGTGATATTGCTGATGATGCTTGTTAATTACTGTAGTAATGAGTCTCAGATATAACTTCTGTGTTTCTGTTTGCTGGTTTCCCTACCAAACCCCTCCACAGAAATTTTTCTTTAAGAAGGTGTTCTGTTTCATCCTTGAATTGTGTTTGCTTTTCTGGAGTCATAAAATTGCATTTTTGTCTGTTTTCTTGTGTTTCAGCTTGCTCTATCCCCATCTCCGAGGAACCCAGCAGAACCTATTGCAGTACAGAACAATCAGCAATTGACCCTAAAGGTGGAAGGAGTGGTTCAGCATGGATCTAAACCAGGCCTTTTCCGTAAAATCCAATCGGTCTGTCTAAACGTCTCTTCAGTGTTGCAGGGCAAATCTGGACAGGACTATAAGGTATGAACAGAATAGAGCTACGAGGAGTCTTAAGCTTTCTTGCTGCATTTTCCTGCTCTCTTACATGGCTCTGGTTAGCAGAATTTTCAGGTTGAAAAGAATGGGTTCTTCCGTAATCCTCTCACTCTTCCAGTTGATATGCAAGCACTGGTGGGAGCCAGGCATAGCGCATGGAAGGGATCTGGGATTTTTAAGTCTGCTATGTGCTGATACCTTTTCAGTAACAGCTTTTTTTCCAGACCAAAGAGACTCTGTGGTGCTCAGAACAAGTCATTAGGAATCTTCCTGAGATCAGGAAAATTCAACCTAGCTATATATCATATGAAATCCAAAACGGGAAAAAGGCAGGAGTAGGCTGTTTTCTACCACATAGTCTCTGGAACCTCTTAATCCTCATTTAAGGGGATTTATTTGTTTGTTTATGGAAATAGGGAGGACAGGCTGTCCAAATTAAATAGCACCTGAGGAGATCCATATTAAATTCAAGTCAACAGTTTTATCAAGAATGCATGTCTGAAATTCAGATTCTAATGCATGATACTCAGTGAAAGGCCTATATTGGTGGGTTTGGGAGGGTGTAGTTGTGTGTTGGATTGTTTTGAGGGGGGAAAGAGAAAAGTCAGTTGCTTGTAGAACAATGACAGGACTAGGAAGTGTGTAATGTTATTTTACTCTGGAAAACTAGAACCTCAGGGAGAAAAAGACTTGTTAGCTACTTTGCTTCTGCTAACAGATACAAAAATAACTCATCAATGAAAAAAGCATGTCAAGCTGGCTCATACATGTACATGCATTGGTTTAGGAGAATTGAGGACAAAGATTTTTATCTTTTTTTCTCTCCTTCAAATGGAGCGCAGAAGACTGATTTTAACAGCTTTGTATGAAATGGTATTTTAACCTTCCATGTGTTCTCAGATTCCTATTGACAACATGACCAATGAAATGGAGCAGAGGGTGGAACCACACAACGACTACTTCAGCACTCAGTTTCTGTTAAACTTCATGATACTTGGCACCCACAACATCACTGTAGAGTCCTCTGTAATAGATTCGAATGGTATTGTCTGGAAAACTGGGCCTAAAACAACTATTTTTGTTAAATCTCTTGAGGATCCGTACTCCCAACAGGTTCGTCTTCAGCAACAGCAAGGACAGCCGCCATCACAGCAGCAACAGCAAAGAACAGCATACTCACGGTTTTAATTCCAAGAAGTGACTCTGTCCTCGTCAATGGTATTACAGTTTTTCTTGGACACTTTTTTTGAAAGACCTAGAATTTTAACCTGCTCCTAGAAAGTCTCAGATGCCAATGTGTTGCTTTTTAAATTATCTGGGGTGAATTTGAACTTGATTCAGCAGAGGCAACTCTATTAAAAGCACAAGTCCAAATTTGAACAAAGAACTTCTACCTGATCTGTTCACTTCTGTTTGCAAACTTGTTACAGCAGGCTCCAGAAACTTTGATAGCAGGGGACACTAACAGCTTTTTGGCTAGTACTTTCTTGTTTTGAAGCACGTAGGTTCTAATGTTAGACTTGCAGAACGTTGGTAAACAGTTTGGCTAGTTAATACAGAACTGAGTATAATCCAAGTCTGTGTCTTGATGTGGAGGAATTGGCAGGAATATCCAGAGATTTGGGTTTTTGATGTTTTAATAACAACATCCAATATTTGGCTGGTGTATGTGTATTACTACAGTTCATCAGCAACATTTGATGTATGCATGTGAAAGAGAAGAAGTTGCAGCTCACTTCTCATACCCAGTCATTGTAGAGGTAGGAGACTGCTTGAGGGCTTGCTGTCCTGGGAGTCGTACAAGAGGCAGAATTTTACAGGTGGGAACAATAACTGTTTCTCAAATGATACAGAAAATATTACTATGTTGTTTTTAGATCTTGATGTATCTGTATTTCAGAAGGCTGTGGTTTTGTTTGGGTTTTTGTTTGCTCTTTTAAGAGGGACATTAACTTGCAAGTTGTTGTTCATTTTAACTGCTTTGTTTTTTAAAAAGGAATTTTATATACCAAAGCTTTGTAATCTTGTGTATTCTTTGACCAATGTAGTAGTCTTAATTGTTGCTTTTACAGGATAACTTGAAGGAGAATTTTGTCAGTACTGGAAATTGATTCAGAATAATTTTGGAAATATGCTGCTTCATACATAGTTTTCATGCTCCCTTTGAGATGTAAAAGGCTGAACTCTGCCTGTGTCTGGACTCTCAGGCAATAGGTAGCATAACATGTCCTTCACCTGGTCCTCATAAATAATCTCCACTTATCAGTCTGCAGGAAAGTAGGACCCACTTGAATGGGGAGGAGGAAGGATGGCACTTACTACAGACTTCAGTTTCTAAATGGTTTAATCCCTCTCATTGGAGCAGAAATTTTCATTGTTATTTTCTCAGTAAATTCGTAAGATATTGTTATTTCTTCTAGTTGATTTAACTGTAGAAGCTGACTAGAGCTTGCAGATTCTGCTTGCTTTATATGCAGGGAATATGATAATGAATTGCTATAAGCCTAGATTTCTTTGTCACAACTGGATGAAGAATTGTTTTCACTGTTTTCCTGTAATAGTTGCTTAAGAAATCAACTTTCTTCCTCTTGGCTTGAAACTAACAAAAAAAGTGATCATGGTAGATTTCATAACATCTTCGTCAGGCTGTAATCCTAAGAAGAAAAGATAGTTGGGATGCAAGATGGAAATAGACTCACAAGATTAGTAGAAAATTCACCAGCACCCTTCTTCAATCTGGTTTTTATTTTGTGCAGGAGACAACTACTGGTATCCTACAAACTGGCTGAAGAATATGGTGGGTTTCTGTCCCCACTTTTATGGTTATATACTTAGTTTTTTGCATATATGCACACATGCATACATGTGCTTATAGCTACGTATAGTTACATGATCCAGAAAGGTGATTCAACCTAGTGTTGTGCATGCAGTCTGTCAGATTGAAGATCTGAACTGTTTGTGGTTGGTTGGGTTTTTTCATTAAAGTCATAGATCAGTGTCTTAACCACAAAACCCTCCTTATTGTAATGGGGGGGGAAGACGAAGAGGTCAAACAGGTTTTTTTATCCCGCAGAATGAATGTGTGTTTCTTGCTCTGTTATTGACTGATATTGCTGGAAACCTGTGATGGCAACATTCCAAAACAACTCAGAAATGAAGCGAAATTTCCACACTGGGGAGCAGACTTTTCTCATAAGTCCTATGATGTTCACAGTGCAAAGCTAAACTTTAGAGAAACCTAGTAGAAAAAACTTCTCCAGGGAAAGCCCTGATCTGGCCTGAGGCTTTATTATCTGTGAGCAGTAAGATTAACCCTGCTGCAGCTGAAAAAAAACTGTTCCTTCTCCAGTGAAGTTTGTTCACCTGATCTGAGAGGCCTCTAGAACTCCAGGAACTTGTATGAGTTTTGGAGCCAAGCAAATAATAACTGAAGTCTGAAAATCTGGATACTAGGTATGAGAGATTGCAGGGTGAGGGTAAATGTCTTCTGGAAAATGGCAACTAGTATTTATTGGAAATTAGCTTGTGTAGGGGGGTGGCTTGCTGTGCAAGTATCTGAATTTCTAACAAACTCTGGCTCATTTGCAGGTTGGTTATATGTGTGTGCTGATCAGGAAAGATCCTAGACCTGTTACTAAATTGTCCTTTTACATAAGCACAGTTTTTTGCATTATGTGGGGTTTGTAGTGAGGTTATTCTTTGGATGTGTGTTTGTTTTCAAACACTGTGTATTTTTATTCCTGATACACTGTGAAATACATTTGGCAGACAGCAACCAAGATTTTCATAGAAATCAATGACTTAAAATACCCAAAGAGATGTGAGGAAGGCTGTTACAGTTACAGCAATGTACAGAAAGCTGCTGTTGGAGCTATCAGCAGTGAATGTGATACCTGTCTATTAATAGAAACAGGGAGGTTATCTTGCTTGAATCCTGCATTCTGTTTCTGGTGCCCATACTTGAAGGTGTGCAACAAAAAATCTAGAAAGTACTTCTATGGTATGGACCCAAATTAAATCTCCTTAGCGTTTCTCAATAAACAAAACAGTAACCTGATCACTATGTGTAGCTGCACACTGATAATGGAAGACAATTCAGATCTTTTTCACTTACTGGCAAAAGAAAGAAAATATGCAGTGGCTAAACATTGGTCATGAGGCTGCTGCTAGGAATTCAAGCAACTAAAAGGCTTATGCAGGCAGCTACATCGTCTAGTCTTAATGATTAAGATATGATTTCATCTGGCTTTGATAAATTCTTGGTCTGGGGAAGGGTGGAGATGATAGAATTAAAATGACTGGAGGTATTAATAATATGTGCAGTTCTGCATTATGGCAATAGTAATTGGTGCTTAGGCTCTGGAATTTAACCTGACTTCTCCGTGGAAGATGTAGCCAATTACTCTCGGAAGTACTTACTACTTCCATTCTTGTGGACCTGTGCTCAGACATACCAGAAAATGTCATTTCTAGGTTCCTGACTGATCTCTTGCTCAAGGCAATGTGGAACTCAGCAAGGTTGAGGTTGAGGGTAGGGAAGGAATTTCCTCTGCCAAATTCTGCCTTCCTCTGGAGTTTAGAGTGTCATCTCCTGCTAAGGTCATGTAAGTGTGTTTCATAAGTGATTCCCTGAAGTTGCACTCATCATGGGTATTCATGGTGTCTTAGACTTCCCTTTCTTACCATCTTTGTTTCCTTGGATATGTACTCGTTTTACCTGAGGACTGAAATACCTTTATTTAGCTAAGGTTTTTGCATTTGATAGTGGATATGTATATATATTTGACTTAAATCCTGTGAAACTCTACAGGAATTGGACAGGTCTAGAAGCAAGTTTAGTGGTCCTTTAAACATATGCATAAACTTCTAAAAATCATTTACTTCAGTGATGTCACAACTTTAGTTAAAAAAAAAACTTATTGAAGGAATTGATATGATTTGAATGACTTATATTTAATTTCTAACATCTCTTGAATGATGTGGTAGCTGTATTTCTTTTCTGGCTGTTGTCTTTCTGCTGACTTAGTGCTTTGCTGTCTCCTTGGTCAGCATATTTACCCACGTGCCCTTTTAATTTAGCAGTACCTTCTCGAAACAATCTGTTGCTCTGCTCTGCTGATTGTCAGCACAGTGCTGAGAAATAGGAATTATCTTCTCGGTGTTCTCATTTGCTTTTAGGCTAAAGTCTTTATCTACCGCTTGCTTGCCCAAAGCAGTGCTATTGGAAATTAAGGACATCTTGGCTGTATGTTAATGGAGTTTTCAGTTAGCCTCAGCCTCCTGATCCAAGGATCTTAGACAAGATAAAAGCATTCAATTAATTTTGAGAGAGAAATTTTCACAGGCTAGAAAGAGCCTGTGGCAGTGTCTTAAACTCTTTAGTCTACTGGACACTTGACTGTAGTAAAAAGCTGACTTTTCTTTTTGTCAGTGCTGAACCCGTGACCCAGTAGAATTAAGACTTAGGCCACAGCTACTTCATAGTCTTGAAAATAATCCCTTTTTTTTTTTTAATTGATAGGGAGTCTTACAGTCGCATTCCCTCAGATTTGAGTTTGGGGTTTAAACTCTGATTAATAGAAACAATTGTTTGGATTTTTTTTTATGGGTATCAGTGGTGACTACAAGGCTTCAAAGAAGATAAAAAAGATTTGTGTGGGTTGGCTGATTTGCTCAACAGTTTAAGGATGTGACTTGCTGGCAGTCCATCTTACAGATCCCATCCCTGCTTACTAGAAGTACTAGATTTGGGAATACAGTTAATTTGAAATTAAGAGCTGTCCATGTTTACACACAGCTTCTAACTACAGGGCAAAACCAATGAGTAGCCGTTGAGCTAGAAGAGGCTGTCAGTGATATAAATATAAACTGAACGGTTATGTGGATGGGAGGACTCTGCCAAAGATGATTGGTGAATCTTCAGGATGCAGTTTCATGCTTCGCTTAACAGTCTGGGTGTGTGGTGTTGCTGAAGGGGGCTCTCGCTGCTGCTCATTCCTGCCTCCAGCTTTGCTCTTTGCATCAGATCACGAGTTTATCCAGTTAAAAGGGTTTTTTTTTCCAGCTGAACCAGCAGGTTTGTCTTGGCTGACAGTGCAGTAACTGGATCAACAGAGCCAGTACAAGGAGGATGCTGGGGAAGACGTATGGTGTATCCTAGAAGTAATAATCAGGTGTTGGACTGCCTGACCATGCATCTGTGGTA